GTTAGTCACTCGCGGTAGAGGGTTACGTTAAGAGGCAGTTTATACGGATAGGAGGGGAAGATAACGGTTACCCCTTGACTTTAACAGGTTAAGATTTCAGTGATCAGGGAAACATCCACATGGGGGCCGGTACCACAGAGCAGTGGTTCGCGGGAAGAAGCTGTCCGAGTGGAACTTATTTCACACCGATAGAATGAGGGTGATTTTTTACAATTTATGTGGCATGACAGATGCTATCCGTGAAAGTTAGACCTGGCGGAAGCAAGGAATGTAGTTCGTCCAAGAATTTTCCATGCAAGTAACGAGAGAGTAGTGAGGGAAATGTTGGAGGGTGGAAAATAATTCGTCACCCAAAAGAATTCGAAGACGCCTTTGGGATCTATCAAAACTAGAAAATGAAGACTAGATAGCTCTCGCCCTAATATGACAACAGTTCTCCATTTTCGACCTGATCTGGCTCTTGTAAAGGTAGAGGACTGCATGAAAGGTCACAGCGATATTCAAAGTTGCGAGGGTCAGAGACTGAAAAGCAGGCAAAATAATGCAAAAATTGTGTTAATTTGGCTAAATAATGTATTATAGGGTTCCAAAATCCACGCAATATACATCATTTTTGTAAAAGAGTGTCAAGTTAAACCAGTCTGTCACTAACACCATTCATTTTAATATGATTCAAGTGAGGTTCATAGCAAATAGAAGCAGAAAAACCAATTATCTAGAACTGATCACCTCAAATTAAATAGTTAAACATGTGCGAGTTTTGATTAACTGCAAATGATCCTAACTTGATAAATACTCAGAAGTTAGAACAAAATAAGACCTGTTCTGAAATCCTGAGACTGTCGACTTTCAAAATAAATGTAGCACTTGGGAAATGTTCCCAAAACTGTCAAATGTCCGCTTGCGACACCAGTGTGTATTAAAAGCGCTTACACTTTCAAAAACAACTTGTGAAAAAGAAGACATCAATCTGGATTACTTTTGAAGGGAGATATAGCTCTCTCGGGGTTTGTTTATGATACAATTGGGGTCATTTTGCAAACTCGCGTAGAATTTAACCATGAAAAACATATTGCTTGTCCTAAGCTCTCATTTTCCTAAAAAAAAAATTGCTCAAGAATATCTCCCGGTTTGTTGAAGTTGAGGCATCTGGTGGCTAATGTTTACACAGTCGACGCAGACTACCAGTAATTTTAGCTTGCTTAACTCCCTAATACTGTATTATTAAAAGTAAATGAAGGGATCATATACACATTCAAATATAGTGGCTACCTTTCTCATTTCAAGTGTTCTACTTGGGAATTTAATGAGCGGTATCATAAAGTTTAGTGTGTCTAAAAAGTGCGTGTTAAGGCAGGTCGATTTTGGAAGCGTGATATTGCACTCAATTTAAAAGTCGGCGTTTGTCATGATAAATAATGACAAAATATTTTTTCCAAATCGTAGCGTTGGAATTTCATTCTGTGAAAGCACAACGTTATAAATGTTATAATTTACTGAAGCTTTACAAATTTTATATGAATAAAATTCATGGCACAAACATATCACTGCTAAGTCATCGTGCCATTAAATAAGATCTTCATTCGCTCAAAAGGGAAATAATATTGAACAATCTAGCTATATTATGATGTACAATGTAACAGTTTTAGTGTGATTTTCAATAAACAATGCAAATTTAAATCGCTTTCTCTTATAATTTCTGTACAGCTATATTATGATGTTCTATACACTTTTATCTAGTTTTTGTTTTTATTAATTATGATCTAACAAATGATCTAAATCTTATTTTTAAGTAGTGCTTTTTGTAATCTTTTACAATTTTTATACAGTTTTTACTTATCGAATACAGTAAAAAATATTGGATGTTTTGCATATGGTGATTCATAATTAGAATTCTGGTTTGCATATATTTTATATTCAATATATCTAATACAAAAGATAACAAGTTTATTTGGCTTTATTCTTGGAATAGTAAAATTGTGAAGTCAGTTTGTAAGTAAACAAATAAAGAAAAAGAACAGGTAGATTAATAATCCACAGTTCTTTAGCATTTTTTTTTAAGTGCTTGATACAAAGTAAAACATAATATTATAATATTTATATTTTAATATATTTTTTCATTGTTACGGAACCTTCAATTTGTTCTATTATTAAGTAACTTTCTTCAAAATTTACTGAATATCGCTTGATAATGGAGCAAATTTAAGGTTCCGAAATATAGAAATTTCCGTATCACGATGAAAAAATAATTTTAATATATATATATATATATAACAAATGGGAAACGTTTACCAATCTAACATGTTTCAAATTTATTAAAGCTTCGTCAGAGACTAGGGAAACAGCGAAAAAATAGAAATTCTGGTATTTTCACTATTGTGTTGTTTGATTTCCATTGGTCAATCATGTATCACGTGCATATAACCGTAATTAAAATGAAAATGGTGAGGCCATGTGTTTTTTTTTTTTTTTTTAAAACCTACCGGTGTGGACTAGGGACGCCATTTTTCTCCAGGCCTACATCGCAAACGCCCTTTGTGAGTCTATCCCTTGACGTCACTCACCGGCCGTCACGTGACACTCGTAACTCTCTCAACGAAAGGGAGACTATGGCCTTTTGTATCCCTACAAATTATTTATAATAATGACGAAGATTATGTTAAAATAAAATCGACGACCAATGTATTTCTGTAGGATAACGGCTTTAAGTCAAGAAATCTTTGTGATTATGGTAATGGTAATATTGGCCATTTCCTTATAAGGAAACATTTGGTATTCGTTGACCGTGCAGCCAGTACTGTTTTCTGTTGAAATTTATGAAAAATATTCTCTTAAAACAATATTTAAGTAAAACACGTTTCTCAAGTCCAGTCGCGGTTATGCCCTTTCCAGTGTTGATGGGGGGAGGTCCTTCCGAACCTTCCTTTTGATCTGATGTGAAATGTGTTAATATCTTGATTATATCATTATTTTCTCCTCGAGTTACATGTGCTACCCATCTTAGCTGTTGTTACTGCTTTTGTTAGCTCTCAATTGATGTGTTTTCTGCTATTTGGTACAGTTTTTGTGATTCCGTAGCACCAGTCCACGATATTTAAAGAAGGGTGATCTTTAACTAGGCCCTCAGGCTTTACTCCCTCGAAGCCTTTTTTTCATCAGTGATCTTAGAAAATGCTTGTATCCAGCTGACAGTTTTGATATTTCGAAACAGGTTTGGCGTTTTTCTTCAACATTCAAAGCCTTGAGGGTTCAAACTTCAATGGGTCATAATTTTTTAGTTTCTCATCTATCGTTTGCTCTATCCTTATATAAAAGGGCCCGATGGATCACTGATTCACCCTCCTTTTCCTATTATTGTCTTCCACTAATTTGTTGCGCTCCAGTTCCTTATCTGTTTGAATTGAAAATTATTATTATTATTATTATTATTATTATTATTGAAAAATTATTATTATTATTATTATTATTATTATTGAAAAATTATTATTATTATTATTATTATTGAAAAATTATTATTATTTATTAAATGGTAATTATTATTACCATTTAAATTGTTCCGGCTGTTGTTTGCATCTTTATTGTCATATTCGCGACGTTTCGGCCTTTGTACGCTCCGGTTTTCTTCAGGTGATATACGTTGGAATTTCGAACCGAATTTCGGAAGGGGGAGGTTGTTCTAGTGCCACGTATATCTCAGTTTCAGTTATTTCTGTTATATAGCAAGTGTCGCTGCCGACACTTGAGTTTGAACATAGATCGCCAGTGAGCAAACACAGGCAATCCCATTATTGAATTAAGTAGACCACGTGACCATAGAGGCGTCGCATAAGTAGGAGGTGGCGTGACATCTAACTGATCGCGATTTCTATTCTATCCTCTATTACTATACGGATCACCACCTGTAGTCTCTCCTCTATTACTATACGGACCGCTATTGTATACTCTATTCAGATCACTAAACGGTGCTTTACCGAGTAAGTACTATTAGTGCAGGTGCTATTCGAAGGCGTCTGACACCAGTATTGTTCAACGGCGTTACTATAGTTGTATCTGTGATTACAAAGTCTCTACTACAAAGAGCATTTACGAAAGTGACAACGAATATTCGTTGACATTACAAAAGTGGCAACGTGTGTTCGTTGACATCACAAAAAATTCTCTTTAGTAACTCAACTCTTTTTATTTTTGTCCAGCTTTTCTGTGGCCAGGTATTGAACTCACAACTCTTTGGATCAAGTCACTGGATTACTTCAACCGACGCTTTTAGTTACTGTGCTATGCGTCCTTGGAGACATCAATGAATACATTTTTGGCACATTATTATTATTAATGTTTCGCTTGCTTTCGAGAGAGAAGTTCTACAATCATAAAAATACTGAGTATCATTAATAAACTGTAAGTAAATCCTATACTTACATTTCAATTGAAAATCAATAAAGGTAAAAGAAACAAAAAAAAAACAAATACTAAGATCAAAAGAACGGTCACGTGAGTTATACCACCCTGAAAAAGGAAACGGTATTCGTATCCACCCCTACCAGAATTCTCTCTAATCTTTCCTATTTATTCTCCGCACTCCCACTTCCCATCCCCGTTCTCATCAGCATACGTGTTCTCTTTGACCTCAACTACCCTTCCACATCAATAAGTACGCATTTAAACATCTATGTGTATTTCCCGCCAATTTTACTTACCGAGTCCTTTTTTTTTTTAATAGAGCTAACGAGCATGCAAGACCCCATTTTTCCAAGCGATTTCATTTTTTTCTGTAGACATAATCGACCGTCAAAAAAGATATTTCCTACTCCTCCCTCCACGTAAAATAAATAAATAAATAAATGTCGGCATTCATGATAGACAAAAAAGAAATAACAGATTATTCTCGGCCACGCAGCTCCCCCTGGTGGTCGTTGGTGCCGTAATCTGTTCGGGTTTGCACTCCACAGAATAAATCATAAAAGTATTAAGTACAGGAATGAACTAGATCAAATCGTAATAAAATGCATTTTTCCTTCTTTCTTTCTTTCTTTCTTTCTTTCTTTCTTTCTTTCTTTCCTTTTATTGTTTCTTCCTTTTCTTTATTTTCCTTTCTTTCTATCCTTTATTTCCGACTTCCTTCCTTCTTGTCATCCTTTATTTATTTCTCCATTTTCTTTTTTCTCTTTCTCCCTTTCTTCCATTCCTTCCTTCTTTTCTTTCACTCTTTATTCCTTTTATTCTATCTGCCTTTCCTTCATTTCTTCCTTTACTCCTTCATTTCGTCCTTCATTAATTCTTTCCCTCTTTCATTTTATTCATTCATTCATTCATCTCCTACTTACTTTCATTTTGTCTTTTCTTTCTTTCTTTCTTTCTTTCTTTTTTATTTTTTTCTTTGCCTTTCCTCCCTTCTCTTACTTCTTCCATTTTTCCCTTCCTTCTTTTCTTTCCTTCTTCCTTCCTTTCATTTCTTTCTTTCTTTCTTTCTTTCTTTCTTTCTTTCTTTCTTTCTTTCTTTCTTTCTTCTCTTCTCTTCTCTTCTCTTATTTCTTCTCTCCCTTCCTTCTTACTTTCCTTCCTTCTTTCCTTTCTTACCTTCTTTATTTCTTTCATTTCTTCCTCCCTCCATTCTCTCTTTCTTTCTTTTCTTTCATTTCTTCCTTTTCTGCCTCCCTCCATTCTTTCTTTCTTTCTTTCTTTCTTTCTTTCTTTCTTTCTTTCTTTCAGTATCTACTGATTGACCTTGAATTTCAAATAGACGGACTGGTACGATTATTCTTCTCTGTTGATGAGAAGCGGTGAGGGGCACTTCACCATATATGGCAACAGTATTCAATACAAGGACAAATGGGAGATTTGTAAATTTGAAGGATGGACTCAGGCGAGAAAAAACTTATGGAACGACATAGAGAAGCAACTTTCCTTGCGGTAGATGAAGCTGTATCACGATTTTTTTTAGGGGGATTAAAGACAATTCCACTTCTGCTCAGTCCCACTGCCAGTTGCGCGTCATTTACTGACGCGAGCTAGACAGAAAATAGTAGCTACATTGGTTACCTTCTATGTTACATTGCTTAATTCGGACCAAAAACGAATTAAACAATATGCAATTAAAATATTTCAGAAATTAACATAAAAGTTGGTTATTCTTTCCCTTATAAAATTCCTTAAATTAGCCAGAATAAAAGCTTCTTCAGCAGTGTGCCGTGTCCCTTCAGGACGTTGACGACAATGGTTCTCCACAATTACCTGTCCTTTGTGGCTTTTAATAAATGGTGTCTCTCCTAATCCCGGTTCTGTCAAGCTCGTTAGGTAGGTTATGTGATGTTTTCCTATGTCCATTTTGCCTTCGATCTGTCCTGTGAGTGTCGAATTTTCTAAGCTCTCTTTCCTCGTTATGTTCCCTAGAAATTTCAACTGTCTCTTTCTGATGATATGTATATGTGTCCTTTTTGTTTCTATCTTCTGTAAAACTTCATACGAAATTTTCTTGTTGCTTAATACTTTACCTAGCTTTTGAAAAGCAACTTTTGTTATCCCAACTCACCTTCAGATTTCGAATATTCCGTCCTCTGTTAAAATACTACCTAGATATTTAATTTTTTGTAAATTGCTTGGTTTTTCGTATCTCTAACCGATCACAACGGATAATTCGTTAATTTATCTACCTGACCTCCCACGAAGATAGGATGTGACAAAAGGTGTTCTTTTTTTTTTCAACTTTGAAAGCCATACGCATACATACGGGCCAAGGACAAAATTTGCCGAGGTTCCGCAACTACTCTCGGGCGGGTGTTGATACTATACCGAACTTATCTCTCTTAGGGTAATGAAGAAATTATTGCAATATGGTTAGAATCCCTATGACCAGGCGCCTTCTCCACTAAAATGAGAACAGATTCTATGCATTGATCCCGGCCAGAAGTCTGAGAAATGGTAAATGTTTGAAACTAAGTCACAATAACTGTTTTTTTTTATTTGTAAACTTTCTTTATCAATTGTTGATTTATTGCATTTTCCTTTTGAATCGTTTCAGACAACACATGCCGGAAGTGTCGCCGATCCAGACGCCGCATGAACGTCAAGAAGTTCTGTAAGAGAGACTACGGTAAGGAAGACCAGTTGCTTTACGACTTCCATTCATTTATTAGCGAAAATTGACCTTTATTCATGAAATTTTACTTGGAACGAAATAAATAAGGTGAATACTTTAGGAAATCTTAACTACCGTAAATTGCAGTCTACAAGTCGAATTTTCAAGTCTAAAAATATTTTTGGGTCGTTTTCATGCCTAAAAATATTTTTGTCTCACAAACTTGGGTCACTGATAGTTTGGCCACACACTACCGTACTAACAGATTCGCTAAACATGTAATCGACCCCACGTTGTGTTTCGTTATGTTTTGCTTTTGAAGATGGCTTGTGGGCGTTAACCGAAGCTGACAAAGTCATGGTACGCTCATAAGGGGATGAAGTCGAGAAAGATTCACTTGGACACAACGAAGATAATACGATCCATTGTGTATAGGGAGAATACAGTTTTATTTTTCCAACAGCAGTTCCGGTGGTTTGCGGTGCATATAAATACTGTCGCTCGGCGTGGAAACAGGTGGAAACAGGTGGACACTCTGTACCAGCCTGAAAATACTTTCTGTACAGGCGAACACTCCCCTCTTCTCACAAGTTTTCTCTTATATATCTGATTCGCACTACCTAAACAATGGAACATCTTTGTACTATTTGCATACGTAAAGATTAAAGTAGATAACAGTATTATTTACTCAACTCTACATATTTAAGTAGGTGACCTAATGACAATAAGTCTCATCCCAGACAGCCATACAGAGTTACAGTAGGCTACAGTATGTTTGGGGTCGACCTATACGTTAAATATTGGTCTAAATCATAGTATCTTGAGGTCGACTTGTACGCCAGCACAAACTCAGACCTGAAGTGGTACATCGCTAAACATACTTGCAAAATGGGCGGTTCCCTGTACTGCTTCAGTAAGTACCTCCTTTTGCTATTCTCTACCTTTACATGAGCTAGATAAGGCCTGAAATGGAGTACTGCTACCATATATGGACAGGAGCTGTTTGAGTCATTACTTTATGGTCTCGAAAGTGTTCAAAAACGTCTCCTCATCCTTAGAACGATGAATTATTTACCACTCTACAACCCCTTTACAAAAAAAGAAACGTCGTAAGCCTCTCGCTGCTTCCTCGCTATTTCCATGGAAAGTCTCCAGGCGATCTACCTTCATTAGTTCCACCAGCTCTAACCTTCACTTCCAAGACCCGCCATGCCACGCCCATTATAGCGAACTACTCCCATTCTGTTCGTATTCCATTGGTGAGATGTTAGTGCCACTCGAGCTTACTTATTCTCCTGCACTGCTACTTTGTATAACCGACTCCCAAGAGGATGCATCTCCGATCACTACACCCCTGACCTGTTCACCTCTAGGATTAACCGTTATCTTCTCCACATATCTGCATAAACTGTGCCTCTTACTCTGTAACGCTCTACCTCGAGTGGTTTTTGGGCCTTGCATGGGGTAAACATCATTGTAAAAATAAAGACACTTTGTCTTCTCATATTGAAATAATCGTTGAGAAATTCTTCTAATGATAAACAGCTGAGGTGAAAGGTCATAGAAAGTCATGAAACATACTCTGAATAGTGATCCCAAGAATTTATATGAATAAACACAGCTATGATTCCCTTGAGCCATTAGAGTCATTGATACACCACATGTACTGCAGCTGTGGCAGGGTAAAATAGCTTAACGGAGTATATTTCGCTTCAGGTATCCAGAGTTAAACTTCTTCTAGACTGATTGACAACCAAGGCTAAAGAACTCAGCCTTTTTCAATTTATCTCCAACTACTTAACCCATGTTTGGGAATGAGTTGAAAAATGACGGGTTCATACTTTTCACAAAGGTATTTGTGCGAAAGTGGGCGTGATGAAATCGGCCAGAATTCGAACTCGGTTCGCTGATTTCTCTTCCGAGTCACTAACCGATACACTACTCGCACATCCATACTAATAAAAGAGTTTCTAAAAAAAAAAAAAACAGAAATCTTTGCATCAGGTAATGAATTATTCCAACTTTATATTTCAATCATAGTACATTAAAAAAACCGAAAACTAACTTCCGTCTTCTTGCTAGGGGCGGTATGGATGTCAAAGACGCAAAGTATTTTAATCTTTTTTTTTTATTTTCTAGGACAACCTCCCGTTTATTATTATTATTATTATTATTATTTTATTTTTTATTATTATTATTATTATTATTCAGGAATGCCACCTTGAGAAGGAAATTGATATGAAAATGTCATTCATTAGTGAAGCCATATATGTTAATTTTTCTAGTGATTTACCTCATTTTACCTACCGAGAGAAAACATTCATTTCAATTTTTACTTTTGATAAAGATCACACAGACGAAGCCTTTACAACTTGTGCACATCCGCTGAGCATATATATATATATATATATATAAATGTGTGTGTGTTTAATAGCTTCTCAGCACTTTATTATGAATAATTTTTCGCTTTGTCGATGAACTGTGAAGAAAGTAAATTATCCTGATTATTATGATTTTTTTCATATAAGCTATAAATTTCTAAGTGCGTTGATATAGCCAATATTATTTCTGCACACACACACACGCATACACACACACACACACCTACATATATATACAATAATTATAATTTAAATTTTACTATATTTATGAGATAAGAATATTGCAGAGAGAGGGCATTTGTAGAAAACAGACATCATGAATATAAAAAATTAACATTGCATGTTGATTGTCTAATGCCTCATGCAATTTTCAGATCATGATTTGAAAATTGTTTGGAGGCGTTCGCACAATAACAGAAAAAAAAACCCACCGAATGCATATTGGTCGGAACCTGTTGAGCCACTAGAAGACAAAAGGTGACAGTTTTCTGGGATTAATTATCTTGACGAAACATGGTGTCATTACTCTTACCTGGGATCAAAACAAACGTCTATTTGCGAAATGTGAATTCCCTTTCAAAAAAAAAAAAATAAATTCAAGAAGAGATTAGCGAGTAAAGTCTGGTGCAATGTCCTTTAGGAAAGGAAAGACATGATCCTTCTGAATTTTTTATAATTCTAACAAACCATTATTTACAATATTTCCTTTCGAAACATCGTGATAACAACAAAGATGTGGACAATCAGATAGATAGGCCTCTGTCGGTCATCAATGACTGTTGATTTGATCCCACCCATCATGCCTGGGTAGAGTGATATGGGGGACAAGATGTTGCCGATGCAGCATATTCCTCGCTCTCCACGTCGCTGATAGATGCAAAGGAACAGCAAGGTCATTAGTGTTTGGCACCAGAACGAGGCTGAAATCAACGAACTTAACTCTGACTCCGAATTTTATTTATTTTTTTAAATTTTTTAATAGTATGTGTTACGCCAGGGCTAGATACAGTTTTGAATTCAGAGTTACTTTCTCCTAGACCGGTTGCCACCCAAGGCTATAGAACCCAGTCTGTCCTGCTATTTATCCACAAGGGGAGAAAAGAATAGGATTCATACTTTTCCCAAGGTTATTAGCACGCAAGTGAATGTAATGGATCTGACTGGAATTCGAACTCGGATCTCCGATACCGCTATCCATTACTCCCTCGTATCTCTTCACTCCACCGTACCTCCCCTATATTCTGCATGTAAATAATGCAAATAATAA